CGCATGGTTGCTCGGAAGTTCTTGAACATGTTTGTCTGTTTTTGTATAGTATATTCTGACGGAGCTCTGGAGCACATGTGTTTGTTCTGTTTTGGTGTACTGCCACACCCTGGTAAATCCCTGAATCGGGAACCCTGCAAGAAGCCTGGGAGGATTTTTTGTAGTGATTCTGTTGATGATATGAATCTTGCTTTACCTTAAGTAAGGACCCTAAACTATGGGAATTATGGTATAACCCTTACTACTATGGGTAATGCAGGATTTATATCATCAACCGTTTGGAAAGCCTTTCAAGAGCAGCCAAGGAGATCAAAGCGTCTTGTTTTCTACGACCAAATATGCATCTGGGTCCTTTCTCGCAGTTGGGGTTCACGCTTCTTTGGAGTTTTGCAAGGGTCCCAGAAGGATTTGAGTTGCGTGCTAGGTTCTGCGTTAGATCCTTGTGTCCTTTTTTTGTCTTAGTAGTTTGAGTCTTCGAGCTGAATGCTTGGCGAAACGGGTATACACTTCTATTCTTTAGTAAGGGCATGCAAGGGGACCTTGGCATGGAACTCTTATGAAGCCTTAGGAGACCCGTATAGGGCCTTTAGTATCACTGGGATACTTGGGAACCTAGGCATTAACCAGCATAACAAAGAGCTGAAGACGGCTGGGCTCCTGAGCATTGGCGCCTTCCTCAAGCAGTCCGAAGAGTTCCTGCTTGTATGGGACGACACGTATGCTGCGCGCTTATGGTGCATCCTAGAGTTGGCGGCATTCTTGAAAAGTCATGAGCACCAACAGCACAAAGTTCAGATCAGGCTTGCTGTCACTTGGGCAATGTGAGGAATTGACTTACTTTTGGGTGTTCCTCATTTTTTAAAAGAGCCCCTAGACAGGATGTTTTCTTTATATCCCTACGGAGACCTATCTTAGGTCATGGCTCCTTGCGTTTTGGGTATTGCTTTCGCGCTTTGGGCTACCATGCTGCAGTGGCTCTTGTTTTTCGATCAGACCTATTTGGACACCGTGGTACTCCTGGTCTCTCGCTGGCTTTTCATGTGCCTTCGCCTACCAAGACCCTGTTTTGTTATAGAGGGACTCTACATATCCAGAAAGGTATCCTGCCATAATATGGGTCTTTTCAACTGAGAAGCATTTTTCCTACCATAGTTTGGGGTCTTTTCTGATGGGATGGATGGAGGGGATTTGTTGTTTTCCTTCCGGGGGTTTGGCAGGTGCATTGCTGCCGCCGTCTTGCGATCGCATTACCGAAACTAGGCAGTCCTTGAACACAGTTTCTCTTTTTATTGCAGTATGGCCCAGTGTGGCCAAATAAACATACTGTACTGATGTTAAGCCCTAGCCTTAGCCCCCAAGTCTGAACCCTAGAGCCCTAGACGTTTAAACCCTTTACATCCCAGCACCATACGCCCCGAGACTCAGGAAACACAGAGAGAATGCTGCAACAGCTCGCATCCTTCACCGTGGAGAACGCCGGCTGTCACTGCTGCAGAAAGGGCGGAGAAGCTTCTAGGTCGCCTTTTTGGGTTTAGGGCTTAGGGCCTTAAGTATTAGTCCAACGGTAGAGGGTTTAGGGGGTTTAGGGTAAGCACCTAATAGTCATATACGCTCCCAAAGAGTAGCCTACATAGTTACGATCCGAAACCTAAGTGCCTGATTCTTGGGTCCTTTGGGTCCTGTTTGAGGTCTCCTTATGGGTTTCCGGCTTTAGGACTTGGGATTTAGGGCTGTGGGGTTTCAAGGCTGTTGGGCGAGCAGGGCCCTTGCGGCTTCAGGATAGTCGGGTTTGCCAGGAGTTTCAGGGCGGATATATAGGGTTTATAGGGTTTAGGGTGGATACCCCTAAACCCTACACCTAAACCCTAAACCCTAAACCCTAAGCCCTAAACCCTAAACCCTAAACCCTACTATAACGATAACGTCACCCCCATGAACCCCGGTCTTCTCATGAAGTCCTCTATACTAAACCCGCAGCCTCTGAAGGAGCGATTGAAGGGAGCCCCCATTCTAATTCTAATTCTTGAGGCCCTAGGGTTGTTTAGGGTTTAGGGTTGTTTAGGGTTTAGGGTTTAGGGTTGTTTAGGGTTTAGGGTTTGGGGTTCTTACTGGGGAGAACCAAGGATTGTGCCCATGAAATCTGCGATCGGGCCGTCATCGCACACTGCATTCGCACCTGGTACGGTTCTGTCGCGACCTTCGAGGAGACAGTGGCTTAGTAGCAGAGTCGCGAACTTGGAGCCTTTCGGGGCTCCTTTTAGGGCTTTAGGTCTTATAGGTTTAAGGGTTCAGGGGTTTAGGGGTTTAGGGGTTTAGGGCCGTTAGGGGTTTAGGGTTGAGGGTGTGTAGTGGTAGCATAAAGCAACAGATTATCCGTTCGCGTTCAGGGGATCTCAGCAACGAAGGTAAAGACTCGTGTCAAGACCATGCTGTACCGACAGCTGGGTGGATTGTTGTTTCCTTATGGCTGGAAGGTCGTTGGTGGATCACCTCTTCTGTGGGGCTTCTGCGACATGACGGCTGCTCGCTTGCGATCCGGAAGCTGGAGAGGAGCTGCAATCGTGTTCGCCGGCGGCCTGACATGGTGTTTCTTCCTCTGCCCCCACCTCTTTGAAGTGGCATTGCTGCTTGCCAGGTGGGGGGGTTTCCGAAAATCGGGGACCCTAATATTCAATAGAGTACCCTAAATAGTAAGATCCTTATGATAAGGACCCCCCAAATAAGGGTACTCCCATTTTCGGCATCTGCCAGGTATTTTCGCAGGAAGGCGCCAGGCACCTGGCAAGACAGGCTGAAGACGATGGCAGTTGCACTGCTGCTCACCATCGTCTCCTTTATTGGAAACATTACGTCACTGGTGCAGGATCCTAATTAGGGTTTAGGGCGTAAATTTAGGGCTTATAGGGTTTAAATTTAGGGTTTAGAGTTTAGATTTAGGGCTTAGGGTTTAGGGCCCTTTAGGGTTTAGGGTCCTATATTGGGAACAGTACGTCAGTGCAGGATCCCTTGCCTACACTTCTTTGGTTTACCGCTCCAGTGCTGGTTGCTGGGGTGACGTGGATTGTCAGTCGATATCAGACCCGACAGAGGGAGCGGATGCTAGCTTCTTGCTGGCATGCTCGGAAAATGTTGACGTGCTTTATAGCATGGTCTTGTAGTCATGTATTGTTGAGGGGCTGACAAATGCAACCCAGGATTTGATGGAACTGGAACAGGAGGACCGCGTTGGAGACCATAGTCATACTCTGCATGATGCTGCTGCTGCCGCCGCGACCGTCGTCGTTTCACTTTGAGCACCAAGCCCCAAAGCCTAAACCAAACCCCAAACCCTAAACCCTAAACCCCAAACCCTAACCCTAAATCCCAAACCCCAAACCCTAAACCAAACGCACTCATATGCAGATTCGACAAGATCGAAGGTCCCGACATGGAGAATCGAAGTCCGAGCTACCACCTAAACCCAAAGCCCCTAAGCCCCTAAGCCCCTGACCCCTGACCTCAAACCTGAGCCCCTAAACCCTACACCCCGAAATCCTAAACCCCTAAACCCCCAAACCCCTAAATCCTAAGCCGCTGAACCCTAAACCGTGGCTGCCCAACACTGGTCTTTGGCTTCTGTTGGAGCAACAGGAAGGAGCATTTGCAGTAGGCCACAACCGGGGCATCCACGAAGTCCCAAAGCGCCCTAGGTACAGGGTTCAGGGTTTAGGGCTCAGGGTTTGAATTCGGGTTTAGGATACCTGGTGTAGGGTTTAGGGTAGTATTAGGGAGACTGAAAGGGGGACCCTTCTGAGCCTTACCTGTGGCTCTCTTAAATGGGACCTTATTGAGAGGGTCTATGTCCCCAAGGGTCCCCCTAATCCTACCTCCCAGTAGGGTTTAGGGTACAGGGTTTGGAGTTTAGGGTTCAGGGTATACTGTGATGGGGGATACTTTTGCAGATGGTGGTAAGTCCTGCCGCCAAAGCTGGTACCTAGGGCCCTTTGGGAGTGTAGATCGGCACGACGTCCGTCTCTCGCACTGTCTCACAAGGCATCATCCAACTGATGCCTGGCAAGACGTACATGCTGGAGCACGTTCCGTTCAAGTTCAACTCACCCTAAACGCTTGACATAAAGCCTAAGCCCTACACCCTACACCGTGAATCTTGAACCTTTCTGATTTCTGATCTTTAAACCCTAAACCCAACAAGCAGCAGCCCGACTCGCCATCCGAATTGAATTCCTTGACGTTGACCAAAGCCTTGAAACGATACCGACCAATTCTGCAGTTCCTGTCATTCTGCACCCTATGAGCCACGCCGAAGTCTAATGGTTCCTAGCTGCAAATGTAGTAGCTAAGCTATGACGATTCCTAAATTCGTGGACCTCTACTGCAAGGAGGCATCTCTATGATGTCCTAGTCCAGCGATGACTAAGCAAAACCCTCATCCCAGCACCTTACTCCGACTACCATGACCCCTATATCATCGAACCGTTACTGTAACCCTTCAAGGGAACGGTTTACGGAAACCTTCGGGGGATGATTTCAGGCCCCTGTATTCGAGCATTTCCAAGAAAGTTGGGACATGGTTTCCTAGGTTCCCCAGTAGCACCCTTTTGCCCTTTTTTGGGGGGGTCCCCTTCTTAAGTTCGAATATTAGGAAAAGGGTATCCTTGTCATTATGGGGTTCCTGGGGAACCTAGTTTCGGAATGATTAGATTTGGGATCCCCTCTGCTTCCTTAGGGGCAGGGGGATAACGATGTTCCAACTTTCTGGTTTCGATGGAAGCCATAGTCCCTCAACCCTAGACCCCGAAACCCATAAACTGCACCCCAAACACATAAATCCATTAGCACCAAAATGCTAAGCCACAAAGCCCATAAATGAGCCCAAAATCCTAAACCCCAAATCTATGAGCCCAAAACCCTAAACCCTAAAAGCCCAAAGCCCTAAAAACCTTAAACACTTACCTTTATTATATGAATATGTTAGTCTTTATAATTAGGAGCTGAAACCCTAGACCCTCAAGTCTTACACCCTACCTCAACCCCAAGTATCCCACCTATTTCAAGGCATTTGCATAAGCACATCATAGTAACGAGTCCTAAAAAGGTAACCCCTAAACCCTAAACCCACTAAACGCCTATAGGGCCTAAACCCTAAACCCCTAAACCCCTAAACCCTAAACCCATCTAAACCCCAAACCCCTAAACCCTTAAACCCTAAACCCATCTAAACCCCAAACCTCTAAACCCCTAAACCCTACTTTAACCCCTAAACCCATCTACACCCATCTAAACTCCTAAACCCCAAAACCCCCAAAACCCCGAAAACCCCTAGACCGCTAAGTCCTCAAGTCTTCCGACTGAGGCGGCTGAAGAAGGAGAAGATCCCACAGGGCCTGATGTTTTTCAGCAATCTTCAGGCGGGCGCTTGAGGGTGTACGGTTTAGGGCTTAGGGGTTTAGGGTTTAGGGCTTCGGGTTTAGGGGTTTAGGGATTTAGGGGTTTAGGGTTTAGGGGTTTGGGGTTTGGTGGTTTAGGGCTTAGGGGTTTAGGGTTCAGGGGTTTGGGGTTTAGGGTTTAGGGTTTCGGGCTTGGGGTTTAGGGCTTATAGGGCGCTATAGGGACGCTAGGGGCTATGGCTTTTGGGGTTGAGGGTGTTGAGTTTTTTGGGATTTGGGGGTTTCAGGGTCAGGGAGTTTCGGGTATTTAGGAGGTTTAGGATTCCGGTGGTTGGGTTTAGTCGGAGCTAAACCCTCATCCCCTCAACCCCAAACCCAGAAAAACTCCTAGGACAGAGCGCACAGGGCAGATTCGTGGAATCGCAACGAGGGGGGGTCGCAGATTCAGGGTGCAAGTGGCGGGGTTCCTGGTAGGGGGCTCAATGCAAGTTACCGAAGTATCGGTTTAGGGTTCTGGGTTCTTGTTTGGGGGTTTATCATGCAAGCTACCAAAATGAGGAAGCCTCTAGGCTTCACACCCCAAAAACCCTAAGCCCTTAGATAAACTGCTGAGCAGAGCTGTCAGGTCTTGAAAGTTCGGAAGAACTTGCTGACCTGCCGGCGTGATTCCCCTCCTTTCAGGAAGGTTTGGGATTTAGGTTTTCAGGTTTAGGGTTCCGGCTTTGTGCTTTTCTTAGGGGCTGAGTAGGTAACCTTTAACCTTTTGGGGCTTAATAAATCCCTACTCTACTACAAGTTCAAAGGTTAACCTTTTTTGGGCTAGGGTACTCGGCCCTTAGTAAGTTAGGGTTTAGGTTTTTCAAATCTGGCCTTTAGTAAGATAGGGCCCCCGGTAAGGGGCAGCACAAGGTTCGATAGGGTCCGGTGGTCTAGGGGATTTGGGGGTTTAGGGTTTAGGGGGTTTAGGGGGTTTAGGGGTTTAGGGGGTTTAGGGGGTTTAGGGGGTTTGGGGTTTTAGGCGCCTGTCATATCGGTTCTTGAAAGCTTGACCGAAACCCTAAACCTGAAGCATTGTGATTGAGTTTTGGTGAGCTGGGCGGCATTCAGGACCAAGAGACCCTTCGAGCACTGAACTTTCCATTCCAAGTCAAAGGATTTAGGGTTTTTAGTAAGTTTAGGGTTTAGAGCATAGGGTTATATTTGTCAGGTGTCTACATTGGTGGTCTCTCAGGTGTAGCCAGGTTCTATATGGTGTTTAGAGGGTGGCGGCGTTTTGTCGATCATGCCTTCAAAGGTTTGTCTTTCTTTAGAGTTTCATGGTTTCCCTGCAAACAAAAGCACTTGATCTTTATGGACAGGTTATATTAGCTACCGGCCGATGTTCCGATGTTTTCTCATCCTGTCGTCTCAAACACATGTCAATTCAAGGATAAGTTCGGGAGGTTGATGTCTGTAGCTAGGCAATTTCAGCCATGGTGGCCTGGTGCCAAACTTTGTCATGCAGTTGAGTTGTGTTCTGTGTCCAACAGATGCAGCTCCATAGTTAGAATAGGATTCCCCTGGGCTCTTGAGAAATGAGAGTTTCCGGAAATACGGGATACATTAATTTGGGGTCCTTATAATAAGGATCCTACTATTTAGGGTGCTATATTAGGTCCCCCTATTTTCGGAAACCCCCAAATCGGTATAGTTACACCGAAACCCTATTCTAGCCCTTGAGGCTCCCAATGTGAATTAAGGATACTTTCCCTAAGGGTCCAGGCATTTTTTGTAGTAGCTTTATATAAGTATATGTACATATAATAGTAGTCTTATAAATATATGTACACATAATAGTAGTCTTATAAATATATGTACATATAAATATCTTGGATAGACAGGTGGAGAGATAGATAATAGATACCGTTCAAAATTAGCCTGCATAGCTACCGTGCTAAACCCAAGTACCCAATTTTTGAGTCCGTCGGACCCTTAAAGCATTAAAAAATCCCATAAGCCCCTTACAGAGCCGTTATAGAACCCTTTGAAGAAACCCTCATTCTTGGGTCCTTCTGACCCTTCTGGACCCTTAGGGGAAGAGGCCCTAAACCCTCAACCCTAAGCCCTAAACCCCCAACCCTCAACCC